CAGGCTGTGCAAAGTCATTTGATATTGGAATGACGAAAGTAGAGGTGAGCCTGATGAAATATGCTTGTCCTAGACTGCACTGAATGTTAGAAACCACTTCCTTTGATCTGTTCTTTTTGTTTTTTTTTCCTGACCTTGCAGACTCATCTTTAGAGCTCTATGTTCTCATTCATAACCTGGACAGCCAAATGTTGAGAGGAGAAAGAAGTCAGCAGATCCTTGCACAGTTATCTTCTCTGCCTAGCGTTTACCTCATTGCCTCTATTGATCATATCAATGCCCCTCTCAGTGAGTACCCTTTGGCCTGATGTTCCTTGTAGCAAAAACAAAACACTTTGCATTCTTCTCTGCGGCTGCTGAGCATGTTTCTCAGGTGTTTTACTTCATGTGTAAAATAGACATGATGCTTCTGGCTGCTTCTAGCCGAAACAGCTAGAAACTGTAATTAGGTGTGGGGACCCTGTTGAATCAAAAGTGTATAAAGACAATGAAAACTGAAAATATGAACAGACTCCAGGGTTCTAGCAGTCTTTGATTTGTTGATATTACTCAAGAATATATTGTTTCTTCAGCCCCTGCAGTGGAACCATTTTATTATTATTTAATACCTGAGAAAAGCTGAATATCCCAATTTTGTCTGCTTTTTTCTTCCTTTGTTTAGTGTGGGATCAGGCAAAGCAAAGCCTCTACAACTGGCTTTGGTATGAAACAACCACATTTACTCCTTACGTGGAAGAAACGTCTTACGAGAACTCACTTTTAGTGCAGCAGTCTGGATCTTTGGCTTTGAGCTCTTTAACACATGTCCTGCGCAGTCTCACTCCCAATGCTAGGTAAGACACTGTTATACTTCATAGCAGCACTTGTGAGCCTCCAGTCCTTGCTGGATTACCCTGGTCTTGAGGTCTGTATTAGCTCTTAGGCACACACACAGGCAGGCCCTGTCTTCTGAAAACAGTCCTTAAGATAAAGACAATATGACCTGGGTTGTGAGTAATGGATTACTTTAAAGGAGCAGAGTTAGGATAGCTGACTTAGAGTCACTAGCTACCTGTACAAAGTTCTTCCCCATGAGAGAAAAAATCAGTATTTTCTAATGGACCTTTTTCTTTTGATTTCCTCTCTCTTCCTCACACTTAGGGGGATATTCAGGTTGCTCGCACAGTACCAGCTGGAGAACAAGGACAACCCATCTTACCCAGGTACCTAAGCAGCTTTTCTTATCTGCTTGGAGTGGCATCACTGCCAGCCCAGTTGTGGCGGACAGTGGCTTCTGCTATCCGGGTTGCATCACCAGCAAGAGAAGTGCTGTGACTGGTGGCTCAGTCACAAAATAAAATAAAGAAAGACTCTGAATTTGCACAGCCCTAGTACTTACAGGGAAAGACAGGAGCTTCTGTTCCCGTGCTGCTCCTAAGTGATTTTTTTGGTGTGTCCCTGAAATCTAGGATACATGCAGAAAGACTTTCACTGCTGTAAGCAATAGCTGTAATATTGCAGGTGACATGAACAACATTTAATCATAAAGATTAAACAAAGTTTAAAAAAAATCAACAAAGTTTTGTGTAGCCTTGAAATAAGCCTGGGCATGAAGTGTTGATCAGAATTTTGTTTTGAATTTGTGATCAATTTGAAATGCAGCAGTCTTTCTGTATCTCACTTGATTTTTCTAAATCTGCATTCCCTCATATCCTGCCAAACACTTGCCAGACAATACTTTCCTGATGCAAGAGGTGGGAGAAGATGGATGCTTTTTGAACAGTGCTGGGAGGAAGCAGTGGATATTCAGAGTCTGACCACTTCAGCTTCTTGTCTTCACTTTTTTCTGTCTCTAGGGCTCTCTTTCCAAGACTTCTACCAGCAGTGTCGGGAGGCGTTCCTTGTGAACAGTGACCTGACACTGAGGGCACAGCTGACAGAATTCAGGGACCACAAGCTCATCCGGACCAAACGGGTGAGTTGCAGGAAGAAGAAATGTTAACTGTCTATGTTAGCTATGTTAACCAGGAAGCTATTTGCTTGCTACTAAGTATCCCTGAGGCATGAGTCTACAGCTTGAGGGAGGTTTCATTGCTCGAAACACCCAGGCACAAGCAAAAGGATGAAATTCTATAATGGCAGCTCCTTCCATACCCCTACTCTGTGAACTTTCTTCAACTGATGAAGGCACAGTGTGGTTCAGGTACCTGGCAGCCTACAGGGCTTTGTGGAATGTAGCTTCACGAAGAGCTTGGTAATTGACAGGCTCTGGAGTCTGTCAATCTGCTTCCTGTAGCTACCTTTATTTGCAGGGCTGAAGAGTGTGGTCTAACACTAATAAAGAGGCATTATACTAGTACTGAATCCGGAAACAGGATGTTGATGAGCTGTGTAGTGGCAGAATAGTATAGTTCGCCAGAAACTTTGACTCTTCCCTATGCTTGTTCATTTATAGCATTGCTCTAGTGAAATATTCCTGATTTTAGCATTGTGGTTGTTCTGAGTTCTGGCTAGCTCTCACTCGCTTTGCAAAGGAATTAGTGTTGCAGTGCTACCTAGTGGCTTGTGTTGCAGCTTCCACCAACATTAACAGGATTTGTATGTGTGTGTTCTCAGGGAGCTGATGGTGTGGAATACTTACTGATCCCTGTAGATGACAGTACCTTGACTGACTTCTTGGAGAAAGAAGATGAAGATGTGTAACCTCTCTGTGTTCCCACAGCTTCTATGGCAACTGCTTTCAAGGGCTGCTGGAGGGGAGCCTATACTCAGATCTCTCCCTCTAACCCCAGAGCTGCTGGACTACTTACTGAAATGTAGTATTTTTCTGATGCCCATTGTTCAACTACTTCAGTAGTTTGGAATGATGATTTCTATGAGCAAGGCATCTCTTGCTCTGTATTTTGATTTGTCTGCTTTGTCTGATTGCTCAGATGAGGCCTTTTTCATATCTATGCAGCCAACCTTACAGCCAGGAAAACCACCTCAATAAGATTGTGCCTTCTGATTATTACCTAACCAGACATGAGGATTTAGTTAGAGCATTTCACTTGCTAAGTGCAAGCCGCCAGATGGTCAGAGCTTTATTTTATACTAGTGATACAGCTTTTCATGGCTGAGTGCTTTCCAGGACTCTCTGTACCAATTAGACAAGACTGGCTTCCAGTATGTGAAGAAGGCAAGGTTTACAATGCTGAGAGACCTGCCTTGACTGTATAAGGAAAGGAAACTAGAAGTGGGTTTGGGATGTTGTGGGTAACTTATTAAATTCTGGTAATAGAACTGAAGGTCATTCTCCAAACCCATTTCCTTTTACAGGAGGACTGAGATAACAGAAATTGTGATGGTATTGAGTGAATGCTTCTGGGTGAGAGTGGGAGGATCTATTTTGTTTCATCTGTGTTACAACTTAATACCTAAGAATGTAAAAAGGCTGTGGAATTGATTTGTTTATTTAAAAAAGACTTGCATATGCGTATTTTTTACATCAGGAATGTTCATTGATCCTGGAGGAGGCCTTAAGTGCCTGTTAAAAGAATTCCTTTTTTGAAGCCCTTAAATGCTGGGAAACTGCTGTAGTTTTACAGCTTTTCTTCACTGTGTTTCTCAGGTATGTGGGAATAAGCCCTACAGTTTCATCAATTATCGTCTGCCAGTCAGACTTCAGGGACACTTGAACTCTTTGTGTCTTATATGTGGTAGCTGTGTTACAGCTCAATATTGTAATGGGTCAAATCAATCAAATAAAGTACTTTATTAATTTTCACTAGCTTGTGTTGTCTTTCACAAATCTTTTTATTTTGTAGGAAGACAGATGGTCTTCTGCCAGTTGTGTGCATGTGAAAGTCCCATTTTCACTGTTACTACCATTATGTCAAAAGTCTGCAAATCTTCATTCAGTGCACAGATGATTTAAAGTTCACTAGTGGAGATATACTGTTTCTTCTAAGGTATGAGAATTAAAAATAGTTTACCTGACATTTAATACCAATATATAGCTTTTGAAAAGAACCAAAACATTACCTGTAATATTGTTAACTGTAATTCCAGTGTTACCTGGCCTATCCCTCACATAACCAAGGTCCTGGCTTTTGTTTGCATTGAAACCACAAATGTCAAATTGATTCTACTAAGAAAAGCCTAATTAGTCTTGGTGGAGGATCTGATGAGAAAAAGTGGTCCATGCCAGCAACCATCTCAGCAGCACCCTCCAGTTTCACTGCCCTAAAATATATTATAACCAACATTGTTTTTGATGGCACTTATCATCATTTTTGTGTTATAGGCTGCAAAAGAAAGCTTTACAAAATGCAGCAGATGCTGCCAACCACCACTTAGGCTACCCTCAGAACCATTAAAACTTAAACATTGGGGTAGGGAGGTCAAGGCACCCAAATTCTGGAAGTTAGGTTCAGATTTAAAGAAGAATCTGTATTCTGCCACTAGAAGAGAGGTGTTGTTGGAGAAACTTAAAAGTTATCGTAGATAAGAAGTAGCCACTTCCCTGCTTTGCAGTCCTTTGACTCTCTGGAGTTTCTGTAAAACTCAGGTTTTAATTTGTAATTTGAATAGATATGGAAGACTCTGTTTAAGGTGCTTACAGATACTGATGACATTGTACATTTTCAGTTTTCTATCAGGTTTTCTAGATGTGAAATCTACTTAGACAAAGTGATATGATCAACCTGACTTTAGATATTTTTTTTTAGCTAACAGTTCTGGTAGACCATCAAATGCCTAAGCAGGCCAGGAACAGGGTTGCATGAGTTACCACACAGCTGCTAATAGAAATTTAACTGAATCAGTTCTCGGCTGTTCCTGACTCAAGAAAATTACTGTTAAATAATTCCTTGAATCCTTAACTTCAGCTTAATTTTTGGCTGCTTCTGGATGACTGCCCCATCTGTGCATTAATTTTCTGCCTCTTGTATTCTATATGAACTGTTCCGAGTCCTGTAGCATTTCAGTATCTTCTATAGCAATACAAAACTGCTGGACTTAAGGAGATCTGCAAGAAGAAATGTCTTATGCTGCTGAACCATTCCTGTTTCTCAGCTTACTTAGAGGTATTCATGTTATCGATAGTCCTGGAGTTACTCACCTCTTTTTAGTTAAATACAAATGGAACAAGACATACAGTTAAAGAAATAAATCCCTAAATTGAGTTTGCATGGGACTCTAATACACTAAGTTGCTGTGTGCAACTCAACAAGGTAAAGACTTGTTATATGATCCAGTTTTATTAACACAGCTTAAAAGGACTCACTTAACTGGTAGATGTTCCTTTTCAAAATTGTAGCTGCAGTAGGACAGAACTGCTGTGTAAATTTGAAAATGGAAACATAAGTCAGGTTTTTACAGTTTACCCAAACCAACACTTTGGTTGTTATTCAAGTATATGGAGTTAATTAGTAACAGTAACTTTATTTGAGAACAGCCTGACAGTTGAGTAGACTAGCCTTCATTAGCACAGAATTAGCATTTATGATTTTTCTGACATATGACTACATATCCCCAAATTTGGAGCATATAACACAATAATTCCAAACTGAACAAATTTAGAGTATCTTAATTAAGTTTACATTTGGAAAGGTCTGTACAATGTACTGTGAAAGTTTAACTGAGTAATGTCACTGTTTCTTTCCTCTATACCACTTGGAGGGGATCTCTGTCTTTTTCTGACACAATTATGTTGATCTTGTTCTGTAGATGGGTAGCTAGTGCGTCACGCAGCTCTGACAAGAAGCCTCGCTCAGTGTTACTGTGCTCACACAGAATAACACTTATCCCATCAGCAACAGCATCCAGAACAGCATGGTGGGACATCTCTCCTGCCATTTTGGAAAGAAATTGCATGTAGGTTACAAACAGCACGGATTTAGGTAACCAGATCTTTGCAGCATATTCATCATCTTTCTTGGAAGCTGCGAAGGGTTTAACAGGGAAAGCAGGCAGAAGCCCAAAAGTTGCAGTATCATTGGCTCTGGTAAGTGTATGGCACAATCCTCCTTTTAGGAAAGCTATGTCAGAATTTGCACAGAATACTGCAAACCTACTGTGCCAGGTGTCCCATTAAGGACTTCTAGCCTATACTTCTAGTGTACTGTTGAGAAAAACACTCAAAAATTGCTTGCCCTCTTTAAATAGTGATAGATTCTACCACTTTGACCAGGGAATAGGAGTGTGCAAAGTAGTTAGGAGGTGGACTGTGTGGTAGTCATATATCTACCCAAGTGGTTCGCTGGGATGAAGATAATACTGGGAAAACCTCATGCAAAAGGGGGCTGAGGGTCATTTCTGTAGGGTAAGGGGGAGACAGGACTTGCCTTGCCAAAGAAATCGCTCAAAAAAAAATCTGCAGAATATTGGCCAACCCCTCACATCATGAAACAAACTGTGAGGAGTACTGTAACAATGCCAGAAATAGGTCTAAGGGACCCTTTGGCCAAATACAGAATGGCAACTGTTATGTATTTTACTTTGTAAGAATCTATACCTTACTACCTTGCATTCCATTTTCCTTCAGGGAACTCTGTAGGGAACTGGGGAAATACCTCTTATAGATATTTACAATAGGCCAGTAGAGAGACACACTTGAAAAATTGTTGAAATGGACTCTGGCATCATAGGTTTAGGCTTAAATATTATGTGTATGTAGCACAATATTTTATTTCAAAAAAACCTTCCCTATGCCACAGAGCTATCTGATCTGTCTTACCTCTATTATTTCCTCAATTGTACGAAGTAATACTTTCTGGCCAAATCTTTAAACAGATGGGTCAACCCTTTTCTTTTTCCCTTAGGGGCTATTTTTATAAAGATAAGGAAGCAGTATCATAATCTCCTACCTGTGAGATAGAGGTCAGCTTTCATTCCCTTCAGGACACTGCTTCCAGAACCAGCACATAGACAAACTTTCTCCACTGGTGATTCTGCAGGATATAAGGTGCCACAGTTATATTTCCTTCCCTCTACTCAGCCTTTATGCCAGTATTACTATTAATTGAAGTAACTATTGCCCTAATTTTAGAATCAGTGCACATCTATCAGTTTAAAAGTGTCACAGGCAAAAACATCTTTGATAATAGAGCAAAATCCTCTGCATATCAAGTTTTTAACAAATCTGCTCTCACAAGTTCTATTATCTGTGTTCCTTGGAGATTAGGATAGGTAACTGGAATAAGAGGACTTCTTTTGCAGGTTTTGCTGCTGACCCACCATTTGACCTAGGTTATGTCACCTTCTCTTCTTCTATTCCTTTTTCACTGAAACATGGATGGTTACATGTTTGTAAGAATACCATATAAAGCACCTTGTTATCTTAAGGTGTTTTGAAATTTAACATTCAATCACAAAAGAGAGTGTAAAGTTATATACATTTGTGTCTGAACTCTCAGGGAAATAAGTTTTAGTAACGTTATGTAAACTGTTAAAAGGATGTCTTGTGCAGCTTTCTCCACAGTGACAACCCCCCATAATACAAAACTTGTAATGAGAAGTACATATATTATCCTTTTTGTACGACTGAATCACATAAGGCTGTATATTTAATAGTGTTCCATACTACAGCAGCAGTTTCACACACACACCCCTGCATTTTCTCTCCTTATATTCATAGAATACTAGTTTCAATGGTCAGGTATAGTTGCAGGGTTATTTACCTAGTGTTTTGCCCTTTCCCACAGCTAGGCGGATGTGGGGTAGTTTTAGATGGCTTTTAATGCGCTCTATCATGGTTAATAAGGAGACTGGCTCACTCATTGTGCAGAGACGTCCCATTCCAGTATGTGGAAGAAGAGGCTGAAGGGAAGAGAAATTAAGATTACTCTGAGAAAGCGATTCCAGAAGCTCACATTGCTTTCCATACTCTACAAAGGTGACTCTATTGGGCATCAAGAATGAATTCTCTGAACTTTGCAGAAGAAACACATAAGTGATTATCTAAAATGTAACATATAGCTATTGGGCATCAAGAATGAATTCTCTGAACTTTGCAGAAGAAACACGTAAGTGATTATCTAAAATGTAACATATAGCTATTAGAACTGTTTTAAGAATTGATATAGGTGACAAGTGTGTTCACTGTTTTGAAAAAATGTATGTGGTTTCAACCCCCCAGTAGGCCAGCGTTTCAGAGCACTGACAGGTCACATAGGAAACGTGGGATGCCAGCAACTGTTAGATTTCAGTCTTTAGGGCAGTCTGCTCACACAGGTAAAACATGCATTCATTACCTTTTGTAATAACAGAATCTCAGTCTTGTGATAGAGGGAGCTGTTCTTGGACAATAATGCCACCACCTCCAACAGTGCTTTCTGAGAGCAATTTAGACTCACTCGTGTTTGTTCTTCACCTTCTACCCTGAGGAAAGATGTATTTGGTGATTGCTAGGAAAGTAGTTAAATTTTCAGCATCTTGTATTTATATGTTGTTTTGTATATTAACAGAATATAAAGCCAGTCTATCACAGAGAAAGGGAAAAAGGAGGATAGGCCATAGACTAGTCTACTGCTATGGAAAAAAAACACAAATATAACTCAACTGTCCTCACTTAGCTTCCTGTAAAAACTCTTTCTCACCATCTCTAGTCCATGTGATGCCACAGTGAGTTGCCAGTTACCAATTAACCTCACATGGATCAGTCAGAAAAGAATGATTATCCTGTAAGTTTATAGAGCTTTTCTGTGAGGAAAACAAAACGGCAACAACGCACAGAGAAAGAAAGTGATTACAATAGTAAAATACAGTTCTGGCAATGTGTTCTTTCAAGCAACAGAAAGAAGACAAATGAGGGAGTGAAGCGGGTACCTGGCAGGGAGAGTAGTGACGGAGGAGATGCCTTGGATGTCTTTGATTTTGGACAGCAGTGTCTCTAGCTGCTCCGTGCTGTCTGCACAGAATTCCACTCGGTGAGGACCCTCCGTTGGATAGCTTGGAGCAGTTGAGGGATGCAGCGGGACAGAGGTACAGGCACCTGAGAACACAGCGCACAGGTGAGCTGCATTACAAAGCTGGATGATATTCCTTATGCTGATTTTAACAGACAGGAGAGTGACAAATGGAAAATGCATACTGACTTATGCAAAAAGAGATGCATCTTAGAACAATTTTTGCTAATTTGCTGGCAAGATGATATATATTGTTTGTACCTTCTTGAAGCCATTCAAGTTCTAACCTAAAAACTGCACAAATGTTAAGTTTCTGATTTGGAAATCAGTCTGGAAAAGGCATAGCTGCTTTCATTTATGAGCTACAACACAGAATAAAAATATAAAAGAATTTCAGATATCTAAAGTGCTGTAGAAACTATTAAGACTTTGCACTTTATAATCAATGTCAGCAATTTAAAGTCAGCAGTTTAAACTTTTCAACCAAAATATGCAGTAAATACGCTGTACCAGTTCTGACTACATCCTGTAGCAGAAACATGCACCTCCAAAGGTGTACTGGTGTTGGCATTTGATGCATCTCACCAAGATCAATTCCCTAAGATAAGCTGAGGGTGCAGAGAAGTGCTGCAAATAGGTTTCCCCTCACCGAGTCCCTTTGCTAGCCAGTTGTTGACACCATGCCGTACGGCGTCGTAGGCGGTGTGCGGGGAGTAAATCCCGATCCTGTGCTCCAGTGCCCGCACCACCAGCCGCTCCTTCCATGTCCCCCACGTCACCCGCTTGAGCGGCGTGAATATGGGCGGGTGGTAGGAGAGGATGAGCTCAGCCTTCTTCTGCACGGCCTCCTCCATCACCTCCTCCGTGAGGTCGTTGGTGAGGAACAGGGTGCTGACCACGTGCGGGGGGCTCGGCTCCACCAGCAGCCCCACGTTGTCCCAGCTCTCGGCCAGCGCGGGCGGCGCGAACTCGTTGAGGGCGGTCACGAGCTCGCCGAGGTTCATGGCGGCGCGCGAGGGCCGGAGGCGCAGCGGGCTGGTGCTTCGGCAGAGGAGCCGTGTGCCCCGCAGCAGCATGCGGCGCTGCCTGGGGCGAGAGCAGGAGGGAAACGGGCTAAATGACCGACCGCAAAGCACGGGAACCGACGCAGCTCCCCTAGCAGCGTTTGCCTTCAGCACCGCCACCCATAACCGCCACAAGCCCCGGCCGTTCGCGGCGCTGCCGCCCTCACCTCCCGCCTCCGCAGGCCCGCGGGGAGGGGCCCGGCCCGGCCCGGTCCCGCCGCTTCCGCCGCGCGGGCCCGCGGGGGCGGCCGCTCCGCTCCGCTCTCCCGCGCTCCGGCGGCCGCGGCCTTGGCGGGAGGTGCCGTGTGGGAGCAGCGGGCGCCGCGAGGCCGCCGCGCAGCCTGGCCGCGCTCACGGCCGCCGCCTGGGCTTACGGCCGCCGCGCGCCCTCGCGGCCCTTTCCCTCACCGAACTCCAACGTTAGTTTGAAAATAGCAGCGCTTCAAACGCAACGTTTGCCGCTCTCCCTGGCTGTGGGTACCTGGCTGCCGCAGGCGCGAGAGCCACCGAGAGGTAACCCTGAGTTAAACTTGTGTACGGGAACTGGCATGTGGCCTTTTGCTTTATCGGGTACCTGTGTGATGTGTGTAACCATAATCTCTAGAAAAGTGGTTATTGCTTAGTAAAAGCTCTTGCTTTAGGAAAGGCTCTTTTTTGCCCACCTCATTGTCTGAACTGTTTGTTTTTACCCCCTTCTATTTCTATATATGCTGGATATGTTTATCCACTGTGAGGCTTGAATAATACTGTAAAACCTCATGGAGAAAAGAAGCTAATAATTTCATTAACCACACACATATTTTAGGATTGCAAAGTCCTTGGGACTGTGGAAAAAAATAACAAATTACTTTTTGCTTTTTTTTCCTAGGAACCTGCTATATACAAATCTACCTCAGCTTTTTGATGAGCAAACATGGTGAGATCAGTAGCAGTTTTTATATCCTGTATGATTTTTGTAAGTCATCTTTGAAAAGTGAATAGCTGTTCTGCATCTCAGTGATGATGTTTTTCTCTGAGATTGTGAAGGCTTTACAGTGAAAAGCACTGCTTTCCATTTCAAAGATTTCTACACAAGATACTATGAAAAGGAGAACATGTTGGTGCTAGTAGTTCATCAATCTAAAAACAGAATAAAATCTTTATTTATGACATTAAAATTGAATCCTAATTTGACTAATATCTGGTTGTCTAGTTTGATTTCTTCCACTGCAAACACATTGTTCAAGTTGCAAGCACAACGCTCTCCTTGAATGCTGTAAGCTTCTACAACTGTAGGCTTTGAAAAGTTTTACAATAAGGAAATATGATAAAAGATACTATATTAATAAAGATATTTTCTGCTCTTGCACAGGCTGTCACATTGCACACTGATGTCGGAGATATTAAAATAGAATTATTCTGTGAGCGAACACCAAAAACTTGTGAGGTAAGCCGCGTAACAGGAGTAGGATTATTAGTGTTGAAGCGAGCAGTAGGACTAGTGAAGATCATAGAGGAGATGAAATGTGTGTGAAACAATTCATTGTTTCACATTGTGGAATATTTACATTTTAAGCCGCTGTAGTGCCTGATCAACTTGAGAACTTGTTGCGTACTGCATTGTACTGTCTACAGTTTTATTGCCTATTTATTTCAGATCAGGTTTAGTTAAGGGCCACTTATTTCTCAAAATGTCATTTGTCCGTGGCAGGAAACATGGGACTTTGCCGTGGTATTCCCAAACTTCCCTTGGTTTGCCCATGTTCCCATACTCATACCACTTACCTTTTTGAAAAGAACTCCTAGTTTGTTAGAGACACCAGTTCTCCTTTGTTCAATAAAGCTTAAATTGAAGGCAGATTTTAACTAACTGTGCTGAGGCTTGGCTGTTGATTACAGAGTTACAGTACAGTTACAAAATAAAAAAATTTGAATGCAAGTGATGCTTCTGAATGTGTCTCAGGAATCCCTGTGTTTGTTCTAAACACAAACTGTGATCCCTTGAAACAGCAGGCTATAATATACTTTTCTCATTTTGTTTTTTTTAACAGCCATTTCTGTTTTGATTATAGATGCCACACATGATGTTTTAGTGATAGTTTTAGGCGGTATTATGCCAAAGTAACTTTTAAATTAAGTTCATGTTTCATTTTATAATTTTGTAGTTGTAAGATTTCCTTAAGCTAATTCAAAGCATATTTTAGTTCAAAATTCTTAGTTTCAGCTGCAAAACCTTCATTTTGCATTCTGGGCAGCCCAAACTTAAATTTCAGTGACATAGTGAGTATCTCAAAGAGAGTTTTCCTTGCAAAATGGTGAACAATACTTGCTCTTATCCAAATAGTGGGTCATGAGTCATCTATAGTACAGAGGTCCTTCAAAAAAGATGAATGTTCCTGCACTAAACTGAAAGAGAATATTTATGACCCACCCCACATCAGATCCATCTTCCCTGTGGTGCTCTATGTAGGCAGCATCTGTGTTGCTTTGTTGATTTTTCTGGATCATTCTGGGCTTGGTACTTAAAAGAAAAGAGAAAACAGCAACAACATCGAAACAGCAAAACTATAGCAATGGCTCTGAAAAGGGATGGAAAACCTGAGGGTTATTTTTATCTTTTATAGCCAACAATAGTCTGGGGCGTTTGACTCATGTTATGATGCTGACAGTGCAAAGCAGAGCCAGAACTAGTCTTGCCAGTGCTGTGGTTTTAGCTACATCCGATATTATTTCTGAGTTGCTTGTTAATATTCTGTGTTTCATTTCCTTAGAATTTCCTGGCTCTTTGTGCTAGTAACTACTACAATGGCTGCGTATTTCACCGGAATATAAAGGGCTTCATGGTTCAGACAGGGGATCCATTAGGTAAATCCTTCTGTCAGGGTTTGTATATATAGAAATATACAGGGATGGGATTAAACATAATCATTACTGTATTGTTGACAGGGTTTTGTGATGTACCTGATTGGTGAGTTTACAGAAGAGGAGCAGCCATTATCCTAGCTGTAAATAACCATGCAGCAGAGAAGTATTTTACAGACTTTAATTTTTTCAGCTGTTGTCACTGAATATGATGGTTCTGCTGACTTACCAGTACTTGCACGTAGTTGCTACTCTAGTTTTTTCATGAAAGCTTACAGTGCTTCTAGCAATTCTCTTTAGCATTTTGGGAAATGGCCTAGACAGTAGGAGAAACAGTTGATTCACCTGTGTACTTATTTGTACTCGTTCTGAATTTGAGAATATCTTGGCACTTCATGCTACTTAATAGTTGTTTATATTATTTAGTGCTCTGCTCAATATCAAGACATGAGAAACTTATTCTCAAGTGATTTACAGTCTTTCTTTAGTGTGTTTGTTCTAACATGTTAGAACAATGCATCATTTCTGATTTTTTCCATCTGAGAATCCAATAATCTGTTGTGGTACTCCTTTGGCAGGCACTGGGAAAGGAGGAAACAGCATCTGGGGCAGGAAGTTTGAAGATGAATTCAGTGAATACCTGAAGGTATTGGTGTATTTTCAATATACTGCTGTGTTTCACATACAGTTTCCTTAAAGGTGGGAGAATGATCGGTGTTGTGTTGCACTAGATTAAATACCTGTCTGGTAACTGAAATAAGGCATAAACCTGCAGTTAGGTAATGTTATTAAAGCTTGCTGTTGAAATAGGAACAGGCATTTCCATACTTTGCAAGTTAGATTTGAGGATTCTCAGCACTGAGAACAGAAGTAAGAGAGGTTGTAACAAGATATTTTTAATTCACTTGAGAGTAAAGAAGGCATCTTGCATTGTAAGAGCAAACTTGAAGAGCTAATTATGGGTAGTGATAGAATATATTAGCAGCCAAGATTTGTTTTTACTAATGGTGTTGAGGTGGAGTACTAAGTCATTAATCCTTTTGTACATTTGAAATTCTGTTTTCACAGATATGTATTCAATGCTCAGGGGTTTTTTTCCTTCTTTTAGCACAGTGTCCGTGGAGTTGTTTCAATGGCAAACAATGGTCCAAATACCAATGGTTCACAGTTCTTCATCACTTATGCCAAGCAGCCACATCTGGATATGAAGTACACTGTCTTTGGGAAGTGAGTGAGATCCAAACATATGCTTCTTTGTCAGAGCATTGAAAGGATCCGAATATTTTGGATCATGTGCAATGCAAATTGAGAAACTTTTATGACAAAAGTCTTGAAAATTGTGGTTCTTTGTATATATAAATGTATGGACTTATACTGCTAGCAGAATTGATTGACCCAAAATACTGCTTCTCATTTTACTGTTAGTCATAGGAAATTTAGTGGAAATAGACATTTAAAAATAGTATCAAGGATGGAAATTTTTTTTTTTTGTACTGACCGTTTCAGCTTACTGTCCATTTGGGCATGGACAGGAAGGCAAGTTGAAATGACTAGTACAGTAAACAAAACAATAAGACAAAAAAAACCCTACTCCATTCCTGATACTATTTTTCTATATTGAAGTCATGATAATGGGTTTTCTTTTGCTTGTTGTTGAAAAGCCTCTTGTATACAAATGAATCTGTTGAACAAAAATTGCCTTCATCAAATAGAGCTGAAAGTTCAAAATAGCTAGTGAAAACTGAAAATTGCATATTTACCATTTGTATTGTTTATGGCGATATGGACAAGCATAGTGTTCTTTCATCTCTGTTTAAGTGTGATTTGAAGTAATTTTTTGCATGTCTCTCTCCCACAAAAGAGCAGGGGCTCTGATAATGAGAACTCTGCTAGATTTTCTGTGTCAGTTGAAGATAACTGTTGTCCTAATTAAAGAATTTGCTGAACAGAACGTTCATCCATGTTTCATAGTCCAGCATCCTAGATTCAAAAAAATTGATGAATGTGGTGGTGAATTGAGTGGTGAATGACATGTCATGTGTTCTGCCAAGTCTGTTACAGGGGTACTAAACTGTTAAAATTTAACAGAACTAATTATTTAAATTGAAAAAGTAAGGAATTTATTAGACTAATTTCTCTTGCCACTTCTTCAGCCTGAAGAGGACTAAGTGCATTTGTTCCATTAGATGTACACAGTAATTAGTGGTCAGTCCAATCTTGCCTTTGAGCAGTAATTATCAAAATCTCACATTTTGAAACTGATTTTCCAGCTCTGAGATTTCGGTAGTTCACCATGAAGTCTGTTTGTTGTAACCAATATCTTGCTTCTAGTTAAACATACACTACGATCATTCAGATCTGCCTGCCAGGAAATGTTCTTCATCGCTGTGGTTTGTATAAAAATATGATATTGTTGGTGGGGGAATTACTTTATTGCTTATCAGAATCTCTCATGGTTGACTAAAATTCTCTTTCAGTATAGGTTATAATACTATATGCAAGATTTTGGCTGCCTTATTTGTATGATTTGCTTGCCAGGTGTTTGCCCTGTGGTACTTGCTGTAAAGTGCTTTGAGATACCTCAAATTTGAAAGTTAAATTGTATGTTAGAAGGAGCTTCCTAACAGTTCTGCTTTTCTTTCAGAGTTATCGATGGCTTGGAGACCTTGGATGAGCTGGAGAAACTGCCTGTGAATGAAAAAACCTACCGGCCTCTTAATGATGTTCACATTAAAGACATCACAATTCATGCCAACCCTTTTGCTCTGTAACCCCCAAATTTGTGGCTCTTTAAGACTAGTCAGAATGACTGCTGGATTATGATGTTTAAAATGTCATTAAGAAGAACTACGCAACGTGGATCATACCATTGGTCCTTGGATGCAGGACCTTCAGGAGCTGTGACATTGGGAGTTGTCACAGGGAAGTCTGGCTGTCACTTCAGCAGCCAGTTTTTCCAGAATATCTCCCGGGATTTTGACTTCAAAACGTAGCTTTTTGTATGTGTAAAATAAGGGAAGACTTTTAAATATATATGTATTTTTGCAAATCTTTGCTTTCTGTCTTGTCTTTCTAAAGGGAGTTATTCAGAAATAAATATTTAGCTAGAATACACTCTAGCAATTTTCTGAAACTTTCCCAGGTAAGTGCCAGCATTTCTTACTGTTTTTTTGAAAGTTGAGAAAAATATGTACTATTTTTTCCTCTAGGTGAGAATGGTGTAAGAGAGGAATCGTTTCTCTGCTAGTGGATTAAAGACCATGTTTAAATGAGTGCTTTCTCTTGTACTGATGTGTTGGACTGAACCTCTTCAGCTTCCCCAGAAGGTAGATCAGAAACGATTATCTTTGCCTCAAAGTTTTTAGTGAGTGTTTGCATCTTTACATAGCAGCTCTTTGAAAAGAGGTAACCATGGATTTAGTATAATTTTTTTTCATCGTTTTGCTGCATAAACAGAATTAAACAAAACAAAGAGTAGTGATGAAGACTGTGATCAGACTTCTTACCAAAAATATCCTGATATGCTTAAAACATAGTATGACCAAGATGTTGTTAAAGAAGATGGTCTTGCATGTTAGTGGTGGGATTGTCAGAAGCCCTCCTGGTATTGTATGACAGAAAGAAGAGGGCAGAGTGCCTGTGAGAAGTGGTGGTTGGCACAACAAAGTAACGGTTGAAATACAAAAAATAATTGGTGAACAAGCTGTTGACTTCAGATCAGATTATCTGCAAAAAGGTTTAAAGGTGCCTCAGTATTGGCTGGTGGTGTCAAATCCCTTTGAAGAATCCCAAAAGTAATTTGGCATTCATCAGTCTCTATTCATTTGGACCCAGCCCCAAGCCACCACCACCAACAAAAAAAGGTGAAGGGTCCTGTAAAAATACTTCGGTGCAGTAAGCATAAACTGACTTGAGCAGGCACAAGAAAGCCTTTTTTTACACCTAATAAAAGCAATCTCCATGTTGGGTATGTTGAAAAAAACCATTCTATGATTCATCTGTTTATTTAAAAATGACCGCTTATGGATTTAAAAAAAAATCAGCATGTTTACTATGAAGAAAGAAAAAAATCAGCTTGTTTCCACTGAGGTGCATTTTCTGACTCTACGTATTGTAGAAGTCAGAGGATGTTTTGTCCAGTTCCAGATGGAAGAAAAAAAAAATGCATGGGAGCACTAGCTAGGACAGAGCACCTACATCCAACTTCTGCCCTCCTGGGCTTCTCCTCATTTTGCTTTTGGACTCCATTGATCTCACCTAGCAAGCCCCATCCTTAGCTATCATTGATTTTTTGGCATTTCTTTTAATATCGTTCTGGTATTCAGATGGATATTGGAAAGAACCCTAATTTTGAATATTTAAGAGATGAGGTTATGTTATGCCTGGTTTGTAATGTAGTCTTGCTAAAAACTGCTAGTCCTTGTTCCAGACTTAAAATCTTTTTTTCCCTCTACTACTACAGTCTGGTGAGGAGCTCAATTACTGTAGCTCTGTGGTCTTTCTAGCTTGCTTCCTTGTAACCAATGGTAACAAGGAACAGGCAAAAAGCAGACAATTGCATGCTTCACTAACATGCAAAAGGAAAGGTATCGTGAGAATTTTCTACACTGCAAAGGAACCAGTAATTTGAAATAAATCACATAACTCAAAGCATGATTACCTAGGCAGTTGCTGTGCTGAGTGTGCACGCAGGCAGCTATTTTATTAGCAGCTGTCTGGAGTTGTGTAACATGTACGAGGCCTTAAATAGCGAAAATGCTGGAGAAAATACTGTTCTTTATTTGTGCTTTATGAATTGCTTTGTTTAAATCCATCAGTCCAATGCTGTATGACAAAAACTCTACAACCTACAAGGTGAGTTTTGTCAAAATAAATTATGTTTGCAAAGGAAAAACATGCTGGTGTATGTTAACACTATGATCTTGTATTAATGGCTGTGATGCAGGGTATCATCATGTATATTCTAGATAATGCCTCACAATTTGGCATTAGAAAAATGATAGGAAAAAACTTAGAAATATGTCAAGAACAGACTCTTAGTTTAAGGTACTGTAGCTTTCTTTGCATAGTGTAAGTACTGGGCAGCAACACAAATAGAACAGTATGTTACTAGTGATAGATTGCCACAAGTAATGAACCTATTGGGTATTGGTCACAGGGTCAAGTGGTGAAACCATAAGAATACAAAGAGGTAAAAAGCTAAGGCTGTCTCTCAAAGGTGAAGAGTTTCAGAATTTTAGTCTTGTCTAAGTTAATGAGTTAGTTATGAGCGCACACTTGTGCTTCAGGACTGTTTTACCCTTAGCTTCTTTCATTCCCTGTCCTGTATTTTAAATGCCAAATGAAATGGCTGACTGCTTTTTACTGACCTTGCTTTCGGAGAGGCACATTTCAGATGTGATGCCTGTATATTACTAAATGATACCACAGATCGTCCCTGAAGCTGCTACTGAGAAAGAAATGGTGGTCCAGGGCCACCTTCCATGAGGCGAGTGGTTTTTGCTGCCTTGAACTGCCTACCATGGGATAAGAGATGTCCTGGGAGGGCTTTTCTGTTCTCTGGGCCCCATGGCTTTCTCTGGAGACCCATTCTGGTTTGTTTTTTAAGGTGTTTCATTTGTTAAGGGGTAGTTGAGACCTGAAAATGTGACTAAGACAGTGAAAGGTACTGTAAGATACCAGATCACCCAAAGACAAATTATTTCAAAATGTCTTTAATGCTAGGGCGTTACAAAGACTTTTGAACAACATTTGTAATACGTGGTATTTCTCTCTTTATTGATTTGAAAGCGGCTGCTGTTCTGAGAGCGCCTATAACCCACGGGAAGCGGCGAGCCACCCTGCGCTGCGCCATTTGAAACGACGGTTGCGCCGCGCCCCGCCCCCCGCGGTGACGCTGTGACGCGTCGCCGCCCTCCAGAAGGTTCCTGGCGCCGCCATTTTGTGGCGAGCTTAGAGCTGAGGGGCGGCGGCCGTTGTGGTCCCAACATCCGCGGCTCGCCGACAGGGGCGACATCCCCAACCACCAAGGTGAGGCCATGGCGGCAGCAGGGCCGCTGGTAGCTCGCTCCTGGCTCCGCGTGCCGAACCGCCGCGGCAGCTGGGGGAGAGCTGAAGGACACGGTTATGAGGCGGGACGGGCTGTGGCGGGGACATGGCGCTGCCGGGGGACGGGCGGGCAGGGGCCGCTGCACTGCCCAGGTTGCTGCACCTGCCATGGTGGTGGTGGTGGCGGGCAGGGACTGTCTAGGGGGCCGCTCGGCCCGCCCAAGCGGTCCAGGGGGATCAGGGCGCTTCTCTGCCGCCGCCTGTCCCTTCAGCGGCCGCCATGTTCTCTGCCCGAGCCTTACTCGGGCGCAGAGAAAATGGCTGCGGCCGGCGGGCCAAGGAGGCCGGGGCCGTGTCTCACGGGCGGGACACTCGGAGTTGGGGCAGCCCCGAGGGAGAGACCTGTCCCCCCCGCCGGGAATGTGGCCCCCGGGAATGTGGAAGGAGCCCGCTCCGGAGCCCGCCTTGTGACGCGTCCCACTTTGTAGTGCCGAGGTGTTCAGCCTTGTACATCACGTGAGCTAGGATCAGTGTTTTACGGTTGGAAAGTGAAATAAAATCTGCAATGAGGTCTTTTCCTTTTGTGGATAAATAACTAGGAGGTACTTCTCTTTCTGTCTGCTGGCTATTTAAGATAGTATTATAAATTTTCCAAATGTCTATAAAAACATAGTAAAAGCTAAATACATTTTTTTTCCAAGCCTTAAAAATTAGCACATAGGGTAGTAAGTGTATGCTCTCCTTTTTTTTTTTTTTTTGGGGGGGGGTCACGCATGTAAGTTTTGTTTTTTTCTCAGTGTTATATATATGCACAGTTTACCATATATTAAGGTGTGTGAAGGACCGTTACCCTGCTGACCAACTTTGCAGAATTAATGTTCACAGAGTGTTTAGTGTCTGAGCCAAGGCCATTAAAAAAAAGTCTTTGTAGGTATAAGGTTATTGGTTTAAGCTCCCTTATAAAAAAAAAGATTATTTTGAGAGAATGTTTGAATATAAAATAAACCTGAAAGAAAACAGGATGGGGGGAATTACAGCTGGATGACGGAGGGGAGAAAAAAAAAAGTCTTCATTATTCTGATTGACACTTGAGTATTAATGGCTCTTAAAATTAGTTGTTTCTGCGAGGTAGTTTTAAGAGTGAACTGCCTTTTTTGTCACAGATGCGGCATTCCAGACGAACTAATTATCCTGAATGGGATGAAAAAGAAAGTTGGGATCGCAGGAGGTGCAGCAGTGGTCATAAGAGAAAAAGGAGATCACTCAGTAATGCACGGGAGAACAAGCATTTCAAACATGATCTTTCTAAACTTCCGGATAGGTAAAAAGCTTCTTGACTTCTGACAATAGCATGTATCTCTTTAAAGATTTTACTGTTCTGATAAGGTTAATATTTCTCATAAGGTTTATGTTGATGTATTAAATGTATTAATTTTTAAGTTGCAGATATTTCGAGAGGGATGTCTTACAGTTTAAAGCAAAATCCTGCCTTGATAGGGGTACTGGAATTGTTTAAATAAAGTTTGCTTAATGCTTTATTTGTAGTAACTATTCAGAAACCAAATCCATAAATGAAAGAGACCATCATGAGCGGCGCTATGTCGAAGAATACAGAAACGAGTACAGTCAAGGATATGATAATGGGCACCATCACAGAGACCATGAAAATGGTTATCACAATCATAGTAGCAAGTCATCAGGCCATAGCGGGAGGAGTAGTTACAAAAGGAAATACAAGACACATCACAGTGCCTCTCACCATCATCATTCACAGGTGGTATGACCAATTTTTAACTTAGGAATTCTATTTTAAGAAGATAAATTCTCATCTAGGCAATAATAATTGAGTGTTGGGATTTGGGGAAAACTTACTGAGTATTATTGATATATTACTTTTTATTA